CACCCAGCAGCGCTGCTGATGCCTGAACGGTATGTGGAATGAAGTGGGCGGGCATTGGGAGGCCACTATGGCACGGGGCAAGCACTATGGGCAGTCTATCTGAAGTGTACCTGACGTATAAGACGACCCCCCACTTGGAGGCATATTTTTCAGGGCCAAAAAATCGTCTTATACGCCGGCAAATACGGTATGTTTTTCAGTAAATTCATTCTATTTTCAACCATTGTTTCAGTAAATATTTTTTTCTTCTCTTTTCTCTTTCTTCTCTCCTTTTAGTACTCCCAAGTATGGTGAGCTTAATGTTGGAAGTAAATTTACATTCCTATGAAGCTCAGTCCATTTTGTTCATTTACTGTCTTAGTTCTTCAGATTGCATAATCCCTATTGATCTATCTTCAAGTTTGTTAACTGTTTCTTCAGCTAGTTAAACCCTATCATTGAGCCCTTCTAGTGAATTTTTATTTTACTTAGGATACTTTTAAAATCTAGAACGTCCAATTTGGTTTTTATAGTTTATTTATCTTTAATCATGTTCTCTATTTAATATGATATTGTCATTATACCTTCATTTACTTCTTTAATCGTACTTTAGTTTTTAAATACATTTATAAATGGCTACTCTGACATCTTTTTTTGCTAAATTAAACATCTGGTTGCTCTTATAGATAGTTTATGTTACCTCTTTTCCCCATGTAATTGGTTCATACATTTTTTTTCTATTTGTCAAATTTTTGCTGGCAGCTGGACATTTTATCTAATATAATGTAGCAACTCCAAGTAGAGTTTCCAACACTCTGCTGTTATTTGTATGCTTATTTGTGGCTGGCTGTATTATTTTAGCAATGTGTATTTCCTTCCCCACAGAGTCAGGCCTCTGATGTTGCTTCAGGGAAGCATAACTTTTGTTTGCCACAGTCACACTGTGATGACAATGGTTTTGGCAGGTCTCGCTTTTTTTTTTTTTTCCCATCCCCTAACCTCAACCAGCTGTTGAGCTCCACTAATTGACTGCTAATTTCTCTGTTCTTTTCAACAGTACCCTGGAGGATAAATTATTCTACAGGACTAATCTAATCAAATTTAGCCTTCTTTGAAGGAAAGTGTTCTTATGTCCCTGTTAATATTTGATTCCAAGAGTGTTCCTTCCATCTATTAATTTCCTATTCTCTCCTCAAAATAGCTAGCCTCTGGTTTAGCCTTTAACTTCTTCGACTCTACCAGTGTCTTTTCAACTGCCATATACCACAGTTTTTACTGGTTTTGAGAGCTCTCTTAGTCTTGAACTTCCCCATGCTTTGTTGCAAATAAAGTTAGTTACTTACAGATGAGATTAGAAACTGTTTCAAGGCATGCTTCTTCCACCAGGTAAAATCTCTAAAACAAAGCTCTGGATCTGAGGTGGAGATAATGATGTACTTCTCTCTGAATGATGTCCATGCTTTAAGACTTAAGTGATCAGTGGAAATAGACTTTGAAGTCAGGTTTTCTTGGCTTGCTTACATGGGCATGGAACCACTGTCTTGTGAGCTAAGACAAAGACAATTGGGGCCTTAGGTAATCTCAGCAGCACCTTGGCCAAGATCGAGTCTCTGTTCCATGACTGGGAACTGGCAGTAAGAAGAAAATCCTCACCTCTTGGCCACACTCTCCTGGAACAGATAGTTTGAGTCAGGATAAGAAATGCTGGCATCCTCCTCCTATTGAGAAGAAAGCCCCCAAATTGGGAGCTTGGGGGAGTAGTAGTCCTGTGTTCTTGGCTGCACTTCTCTGGAATAGAGTTTTCATCTTGCTGTATTGGGAGAAGGGAGAGATAGAGCATTCTTATTTCAAGTGTCACAAACTCTTCCTTTACTGACCTGTAGTTGATTGTCTTGAAAAGTTTTTGATTTATTTGTCACATGGACATAAGGCTATTTCCAAAGATTTAAAATGGTTTATGTTTTAAAATAAGTTTCACAAGTCTCACTGGAAATGGTTCCATGGAGCACCTCACCTCTGTCATTCCAGAATTCAATATCCCTTAGGATTATTCTGGAGATCGGTCATATGGGTACCCTCTGTGTAGCATATACCAAATTACCAGATTTTCAGAAAGAAAGCAGATGTTCACCATATGCAACATAGTCTGTACAAGTAATTTAGGCTTAGTGAACCACTCATATATGCTGGGAATGTTAGGAATCCTCCCCAAATTCAAGTTCCCAGATTCCATTCAAGGGCTAACCTTGCAAGCAGGCCTTTTTTAAATATAACAGTCTCAAGACTTCTATATTAACCCTTTTCTACATAATCCACCCCATTGGCCCTTAGCTTGGGTGTCTTTATAGGAAAATTATTAGTAGTGTGGTATTGACCTGCAGTGCTAATCCCAGTTATGCCCTTTATAGTTCCTTGATTCAGGTAAGACAAATCCCACTAATCAGAAACATCTATCTTAGAAATACATATTATCTCCTCCTTAAGTTTCTGTTAACCTGTTACATTTGGCCCAAAGAATCAATCCTAGCATAACATAATTCTGCCTAATAAGTTGGAATTAACCTGAAAAATTTGGAGAGCTGAGCCATTATAATAATAGGGTAAATATACAATAAATACAATCATGGAGAATACACATTGAACCCTTGGAAACACAGGACGTAAATTAGCCCAACAATACAGGTTAACACAGTGGTTCTCAACCTTCCAAATGCCGCAACCCTTTAATACAGTTCCTCATGTTGTGGTGACCCCCAACCATAAAATTGTTTTCATTGCTACTTCATAACTGTAATTTTGCTACTGTTATGATTCATAATGTAAATATCTGATATGCAGGATGTATTTTCATTCTTCCAGATTGAACATAAAGAATAGTGATTAATCACAAAAATAATACGTAATTATATGTGTTTTCCGATGGTCTTAGGTGACCCCTGTGAAAGGGTGGTTAGACCCCCAAAGGGGTCGCGACCCACAGGTTGAGAACCGCTGGGTTAACAGGAACCCCACTGTGGCCTCCTCCCATGGGGCCTTCTGCCCTAGTAATTTTTATTTCAGTCCAAGTCAGGTCTGCCTTGGATTCAGAAAGATTGCTTTAAAGTAGTCAATTCAGAACAGTTTTATTTATCCATGACATCAGTTTATCCTCCTTAGTACCTGTATGACATTTAGAGATATTTTATGTGGGAAGTGCAAGAGCTAGGGCCACCCCTGACTATCTCACAATCAGCGCTGTCAGGAGTGATCTTAAGCTCAGCAGTCAATTTGAATTCATATAGCTCACAGCCACTTAAAAAAATCAGCACAGAGCATTTTCCTTCAGAAAGAGGAAAAAGCTCTTAGGAACAGTTTTGATAAAAATTATTGGTGTCAGGGTTTGTATTATCCCCATTGTTACAAAATAAGTAATATTTATATTTTTTCAGTGATCCACTACTTTTATTCAAACCTTTGTCTGTATGGGAAGCATGCAAAGGTATGAAGCATTTTTATAGAAAAATATTTTTATATTAGAGGCCAGATGCACAAAATTCATGCAAGAGTAGGCCTTCCATCCCCCAGCTTCCAGCACCGGCTTCTCTCTGGCACCCAGGACCCAGACTTCCCTCTGGCCACCAACAGGCACCTGGGACCTGGGCTTCCCTTGCAGCCCCGGCTTCATCAGGAAGGTCATCCAGAAGGATGTTCAGAAGGATGTCCAGTCTAATTAGCATATTATGCTTTTATTATTATAGACTAGAGGCCCAGTGCATGACATTCGTGCACTGGGGGATGTGGGGGTCCCCACACCCTCTCCAATCTTGGAGTCCTCAGGGGAGCCCTCTCCATTCTGGGAGTTTCTGTCTGTCTTTGCAGTCATATAAGGGAATTGTCTGAGACCCCAACTCAGTTTGGTTTGTTGCCCACAGGATAATAGAGGCTTTATTTTTCTTTGCTTCATTGGTGGAGATTTCCTGGAAGTTTTAGGATATCTTCCCTTTAATTTTTCCTAGACACTCTGATTTTACGTATGTCTCTCACCTTTGCTTTCCCTCCATCCACCACCGCAACAGTAACTTGCTCCAGGCTCACTTTGCTCTAGTGTAGTGGTTCTCAACCTTCTGGCCCTTTAAATGTTTTCCGATGGTCTTAGGCGACCCTTGTGAAAGGGCTGTTTGACCACCAAAAGGGTCGCTACCCACGGGTTGAGAACTGCTGCTCTAGTGTCTAGGAGATCCGTCTGCCACCAGAACTACAATTCCAAGAATTCCTGGTGCTCCCTGCGCTCTGGGCTTCCACTTCCAGTCCAGGGGCTGCCACCAAAACTACTATTCCCAGAATTCCTGGTGCTCCCCACAATCTTGGTTTTCCCTTCCTGCTCTGTCTCCGTCCCATGGCCTTCCACTCTGCCAAGTCCTCCAAGCCACCAGCTCTCCCTTTCTGCTCTCCGTCTGGTGGCTTGGGGAGCCAATTTCCCCAAGCCGCTCCACTCTCCACCAGCTCTCCCACTCTGTTCTCTGCCCAGTGCCTGCATATGCAAATTAACTCACCATCTTTGTCTGGTTAATTTGCATACTCACTCCTGATTGACTGGTGAGTGTAGTGGAGGGATGGTCAATTTACATGTTTCTCTTTTATTATAGGCTAGCTTAACCAGAAAAACACATCATGTTCAGGAATTAGGATAAAATCCTATATTTTCAAACTTGATTTACATAATCTCCCACCCTTTTCATCCTGATCATTTACTTATGTGCAGCCTAGAAAAGATCAATGATTTTCTGGGGACAGCTCCATTTCACAAGCAAATTTCCATATTAAGGTAAAGGTGGAGCAAGGTAAAGGACGTAGAGTCAGACTATCAGGCAATTTTTGAAAACTGCAAATAGGCTAGAAGTCAACAAGTAAACAGCAGTGAGAAAGCTTAAGAGGAAGTTCAGAATCATATCTATCAGGAGTGGGAGGAGAGATCATAATCCCATGGTGTTCACTCAGCAAATTTACAATTTGGGCTGTAATAACAAATTATTAATGCAATTAGTCTCTGTATCAAAAATATAGATGTTGTTAGCATTTGATTATAGATGATATTATCAGAGGACAAGCTCTTTTCTGTTGACATATTTATATGACCCAGACAATCCAGCCATCATCCATGATGCTCTCATAGTTCATGACCATGCAGAGGGTTGTCATAAATATGAAACAGTTCCAGAATCTGAGTTCTTTTCATTGTTTAAAGAGATTTTACCATATTTCAGTTTGGCACAGCTAGTAGTGAAGCTAAAACAGTTTCATAACAGAAAGTATCAGATTTCACATTAGAGTCAAGTCCAGACAATATCTGTGAATTCAGGATTACAAACAAAGACAGTGGCTTTCTTTCAGCAGTAGCAAAGCCAAGACACTGTATAGGGCCAGATAGCAGTGTTTCAAATCCAAGTGACAAGCAAGGCTTTCCTAAGACCTTTTTATCTTATCAGTATTAGAGTTCAAATTGACCTGCTCAAAAATATGTAGACTATGTCATAAAATAATCAGGCACTAAGGGTCAGATATCCAATGTGACAAATGTTCATTAGCTATTAAAAGCTGCTTCTTATTTTTTTTTTACTATTTTCATTTACAGTTCACGTACATTATTATATTAGTTTCAGTGTACACTCCAGTGATTAGACATAAATTAAACTGATAAATCTCATACCAATCTAATAACATACATAATTATTAGAATACTCGAGGCCCGGTGCACAAAATTTGTGCATGAGTAGAGTCCCTAGGCCTGGCCAGTGATCAGGGGCCTTCCAGCTGCCAGCTGCTGGCCAGGGCCTTCCTTTGTCCCATGCCACCTGGTGGTCAGTGCAGACACTTTGCATATTAGCCTTTTATATATATAGATTATTGACTATATTCTCTATGCTGTATTTTTCTTCTCCATGACTATTCTGTAACTATAAATTTGTATTTGTTAATCCATTCACCTTTTTTCACCCATACCTCCACCCCCTTCCCATCTGGTAATCATCAAACGGTTCTTTGTATCAATGAGTCTGTTTCTGTTCAGCTTTATTTGTTTTGTGTGTGTTTTTAGATTCAATTGTGTATAGATATGTATTTACTACCAGGTTATTGCTTATATTTTGTATCATTTCTTTTTTCTTCTTCTTCTTAAAGAAGACCCTTTAACATTTCATGTGATATTGGGTTGGATGTAATGAACCTCTTTAGTTTTTTCTTGTCTGGGAAGCTCTTTATTTCTCCTTCAATTTTAAATGATAACCTTGCTGGGTAGATTATTCTTGGTTGTAGGCCCTTGATTTTCATCACTTTGAATATTTCTTGCCAATCCCTTCTGGCCTTCAAAGTTTCTGTGGAGAAATCAGCTGACAATATTATGGGTGTTCCCTTATAGGTAACTAACTGCTTTTCTCTTCCTACTTTTAAGATCCTCTCTTCATCTTTAACCTTTTGCATTTTAATTATAATATGTCTTGGTGTGGGCTTTTTGAGTTTATATTTTAAGGGATTCTCTGCACTTCCTGGGCCTGTATGTCTATTTCCTTCACCAAGTTGGGGAAGCTTTCTGTTATCTTTTACTCAAAATAGGTTTCAATTTCTTTCTCTCTTATCCTTCCAGCTCCCCCATGATGTGAATGTTGGTGTGCTTGAAGTTGTCCCAGAGGCTCCTTACACCAGTGGTCAGCAAACCGAGGCTCATGAGCCACATGCGGCTCTTTGGCCACTTGAGTGTGGCTCTTCCACAAAATACCGACTTCTGTGCGTGGGCCACAAAGTTTCAATCGCACTGTACGTGTGTGCCTGCACGTGGTATTTTGTGGAAGAGTCACACTCAAGGGGCCAAAGAGCTGCATGTGGCTCGCAAGCCACAGTTTGCTGACCACTGCCTTACACTATCCTCATTTTTAAATTATTTTTGCTGTTCTGAGTAGGTGTTTCTTGCTTCCTTATATTTCAAATATCTGATTTGATTCTCAGCTTCAACTACTCAACTGTTGATTCCCTGTAAATTATTCTTCATTTCAGTTAGTGCAGCCTTTAAGTCTGACTAGTCTTTTTTATGCTGTTGAGGTTCTCACTAAGTTAATTGAGCATCCTTTTAACCAGTGCTTTGAACTCTGCATCTAGTACATTGCTTGTCTTCCCTTTATCAAGCTCTTTTTCTAGAGTTTTGTCCTCTTCTTTCATTTGAGACATGTTTCTTTATCTCCTCATTTTGGCAGCCTCCTATATTTGCTTCTATGTAGTAGGTAAAATTGTTATATATCCCACACTTGGTAGAGTGACCTAATGTAATAGGTGTCTTGTAGAATCCACTGGTGTAGCCTCACTGATTGCCCAAGCTGGGTGTGAGAGGTGTGACCCCTGTTTGTGCTGTGTACAACTTCCTCTTGTAGTTAAAGTGTTAAATGCTGTTGGCACATCAATGGGAGGAATTTAGCCTAAGGCCAATCAACTGCAAGGACTGGCTGTGACCACCAACCACCAACCTCCAACCACCTTGGAGAATCAGCTTTGCAAAGTCCCACCCCACAGAGTAGGACTTGCTTCAGTGGGACACAAGTGCCCACTAATTCTGCCACTTGAGTGTGTGTGTCACTTGTGGAGGTGTTTGGGTGGTATGTTGGCGTGATCTAAAGCTATGCATTAGGTGTGCTTGTTCTGGAGCTACTTGACTTGAGCTACAAAGTGATCTGCAGATGGCTGCTACTTGTGCTCAATTTGGAGGTGCCCAGGAAAGGCCACGCTGTGAACCAAGGACAGCTGCCTGTATTACTGGTGCTGGAGCCCCTCAGCAAGAGGTATAGGGCTTGCTGAGGCCAGATGCTGCTTGAGAGATTTGGAAAAAATCTAAAGAATGAGTCAGGACAGACCATTAATATGGAAAAGCCACTGGAAACAGCTTGGGTGGGCCAGAAAGTTGGGTGAGGCGGTGTCTCAGGTAATCACAAGGCTGGGGCAAACAGTGTGAGCCAGTTTAATAGATTCTCAGATATGCCTGCTGGCTCTGTATGAGGAGGGCTCATCAAAGGAACAATGGCCACTGCCAGAACTTCTGTCTTAGAGAAATCTGCAACCCAACTCTCACCCTGATGCCAAACAATTCACTTCCTCCCTGTATGTCTCTGGTGCCTTTCAAGCTGCTGCCCCTACTCTGTAGTTCAGAGGGAGTGAGTCAAAGTTAGTCTGTTCCCACGGGCCTTTTAAGAGGAAATGCCTGGAACTCCAACATCCTCTGTCTCCCTCAGCCTCAATCCCCGCTGGTTTTTACAGCCAGAAGTTATGAGGGCCCCTATTCTTGGCACTGGAATCCTGGAGTGGGGGCACCTTAGTGTAGGGCTGGAACCCCTCACTCCTCAGGGTATGTGAGGTATATTTTCTGAGGTATATTAGCTGAGATATACCTCCTGATATTTATCTGCCACAGGTGTGTGGGAGACCAGCCATAACACACCTCTTCCCTGAGACTGGTAGGAACCAATCTCAATGTGGCTTTTTACTATATTATCTCCCTTTTACCAAAGACTCTGATAGGAAAAAATAACAATGATAATTTTCAGCTTTGGAGACTTGTTCTGTTTCCCATACTTAAAGCACTTAAGATTTAAACTGCTCACCAGTGAGGAAGGGCAAGAGAGTTGTGTCCCATTGTCGTTGTTTGTTTGTTGTTGTTGTTTTGGGGGGTTTTTTGGTGTTGTTTTTTTTTTTT